TCAAGTCGAAAAAAATACCAAATATACGAAGTTTTCAGTTTTTCCGCCTTTCGTATAATTTACGTAGTTCTCTTGATTGAAGTTCTAAAACTAAAGTTTGTGTATGAATTTGTAGAGTATTTCGTGGTGCATCTTTTAAAAATAACACTAATCTTAGGGTCCTACAGTTCTGTCGCATCACAATTTCTGACATCAATACGACATTGAATGCGATGACAACTTTGGGCGAGATTACGCTCGCTATTCGCCCATCTGGTGGTATACGAAAGGGTTCTTCATCTATTCGCTGCTTAATAGAGCTCTAAGAAGATAAGACATGGAGATATCCTCCAAATGGGCTTCTTCGTGCGAGATCTTCATCGACGAATTGAACACGTGCAGTCGGAGACAAGTCAAACAACAAAAATGGTTATCTACCGAAGCCAAGGTATATCAAATGCCGAATTTGAGAAGATGAAAGAGAGTGAAGGAGGTCTTCTGTCATTCAACAACTTCCTGTCGACGAGTGAAGATCGACAAGTTTCTCTTATTTTTGTGGACAGTTCACGAGAAGACCCCAATACGAAGGGAATTCTCTTTCAAATAGAAATTGACCCATCAATCTCCTCTGCTTCGTTTGCTTCGTTGGACAGCATCAGTTATTACTTGGACTCAGAAAAGGAGATTCTCTTTTCACTGCATACAGTGTTTCGCATCGATAAGTTGCATGAGATCAAAGATCGTTTGTGGCAAGTGAATCTGACACTCACAAGTGATGATGATCCACAACCGAGACAATCGAGTGAATATATGAGAGATGAAGTGCAAGGTATAGGTGTGGATAGGCTTGGCAAGTTGATGTTGAGATTGGGTGAATTAAAAAAAGCAAAGGATATATACGGGACACTTCTGCAGTCGACTCGTAATGATGATGAAATGAGTGTCCCCATTAGACCGAGTTGGTACTTGGTTTTCAACGAAAAAGACATTCAATCTGTAAAAGTTTCATTATACAATAACTGCCGCTCTCGATCATCACTATGTGGAAGAAAAAAGTCGATTTTTGTAAACATACGCAATAAGATACGTGAACAAACTGTTACGTACACTCTCTACATCAAAGCTTTTTTCTTTTGCCGCTCTTTATCTGGGTGATTTCATATCGAAGGAATTCTTCTTAACTTTCTGGGGAATGTTAATGATGTTGAATTTAGTTTCAAAAGCCTTGAGGATCTTCATAAGGTTTTCTGAAGATCCTCTGGAGGCCTGTTGCACAAATCTTTTGTTTCCGTTTTTTCCTTCGTCGAATAAAGCATAGAAGGTTGGATCATGTGGTAAGCTTTGCCTTTGTTTTCAGGTTCCTTTCAAGGGTCAACCTAGGCGAGTACTTTCGAAAACTGAGGTCTTGGATGGTTTTTGCCAGTTTTTGTCAGAGTTTGAACTCGGATAATTTTTCTAATTTCATATTCAGATTTAGCACGACATTCTGCGTTCAAATCACTATCGACTTTATTTTTCCGATGCTCCCTCGCCCAAGGAGCGTCGACAGACCCATTTCTTCGAAAAACTAGAAATTAGTCTAAATTTAAGATTTTTTCTCATAAAAACTTTTCTGACACTTCAAATCATAACATCCGGAAATCGCCGTCGCCGCGGATTCAGTGTTAAAGTGTTAACACTTTAGCATATACGAACTCGCGGCGAGTGAGGGTGGGGGTGGAGAAGTGAGAGTGAAGTAGGTGAAGAAGTGCTCCACCCTCAATTATGCACGTTTATACTTTAACACTATAACATTTTAGCATATAAGAATCCGCGGCGACGGCGATTTCCGGATGATGCCAAAGTTTTCCATTCTACCGAGGCACACTCACTCAATCTTCTAGCTGATCAGAAAAGGATCCTAATTTCCATGTAAATATTTCCCACGAATGGAAAATATAATTCGCTCTCCGTCTACCGACATACACCAAAATAATAGTACTCACAATGGAAAAAAGCTTACAAATTTGTTGTTCTTTTTGTTAGCTAAATCACACAACTTGGTGATCAATTTTTGTTGGACATGTGTAACGATGTTATGTCAACGAAAGAAGGAAAGAAGAAACAAATCTTGTGTCGCGCACACGTACACATGTAAGAGAGGAAAGAAAAAACAAGAAGAAAGCATGTTTGGCGATGATTGCCATATATATTTAGTCAAACAAAACGAAAAAAAAACGAGAAATTCAAAAAGATCCTTTTTTCATGCTGCTTTATTTATATTAAACCTTTTTTCGATTGCAAGTGTTATTATTTTGTTGTACGGTAGTAGAGAGAGAGCGACTCATCTGTTCCATTCTTCGGAAATATCTACGTGAAAATTAGGATCCTTTTCCGATCAACTAAAAGATATATCTCCATTAGAAACACGCTCTTGCTTTTTAACGTAAAAGTGTCTTTTCCTTATTAGGCACAAGAATACGAATGGCTTCGAACGACGAGAAAAAAAGGAAAATCAAAAACAACCATATGTGGCTCGTGCCAAGAGGAACTTGAACCGGATCATTCTGGTATACAATGTGTACAGGGTCATCATTTTTGTCCGGTTTGTTCACAAAATATTGTTACAATGTTTTTCTCGGATCCAAGATCTTACACACCACTGAAATGTCTTCAGTGCAATATTTTATTGAATGTATCTGTTTTTGAACGACAACTAGAACCACATCAAATTGAGCATTATCGAACAATAATGGTTACTTTAGTTTATGCAAAAGATTTTTTAACTGAAGGTGAAGAATTATTGTATTGTCCATTTTGTTCGTATGCCGAAATTAGCCCCAAAGGTACAGATTTTCTCTATTGTCGAAATAAAGATTGTTCAAAGGTGTCTTGCTTAATTTGTCTCAAACAATGTCCTAAATTTGAAGAGAATTATGATGATGATGAAGATGAAGATGAATTTCAACAAAAAACCGATGAGATGGAAAAACATTTTATGTGTGCTCAACTGAAAGATGATAAGAAAATTATCGATGATGCTATTGAACAAGGTCAAAAACTCCCGTGTCCCCAGTGTGGCCTTGCTGGAATGAAAGATGATGGGAGACAGTCATTTAGAATATTCGATAAAAAACGGCCTTTCTGATCCCTTCATCTGTCCTTACCCGCGCAACCTTCCTGGCCGCGTTCCATGTAGCATGACATATTATTTTGAGTTTTCAATATAAATACAACGCACGCAAAAAGACTCGGAGCTAGATAAAACTTCACTATACTGTGTTTTTTTCTCTTATTTATCAATAAAAAGTTCATACAAAGAAAAAAGAAACTGGCATCTATGCCATAATAAACCAAGTAAGTAGCGCATGTACGCGAGAAAAGTCAACAAAAAAATGTTGGATTCACATGTTGGGGCACACATTGCAATTCTTTGTTTAACATTCAAAGGTCACCATAAGTAGAACATGGTACCTAACGTTTCATTTTGACCGAATCACTTTGCCGTCCACCGTAACTCCTGTGTATCGCGCCTTATTGACTGCAGGACCAAGTTTTTCAAGTACTGATACTGTGCTGCAGTACGATATTTTTCCGCGGTGAAATGATCTTGTTTTGCTTTCCAAAACATTTCTAATTTTTTAATAAAAATTTATTTCAATGAATAAATTACTCTCGAAAGATGTCAACCTGTCTTCCAGAAGCGCAGTTTTATATTGTAGTCACAAGGTTGTTGAAGCTCTATTCTTTGTCACTTTCCCTTCCACCTTCTAATAAACTATAGGAGTTGGACTGAGTTGTGATTACTTTGCGAAATAGGCTATTAGTGTTTGTTATATCCCATTCTGTGGCTGTCACATATTTATATTCTTAACTCTTAGTTCCAATATCCGATACGTGTAAAACAAAAGCTTGATGATATTGCGTAAATACTTGAAGAGGCTTTTTGCTAGCGCATTCCTCGCGTATAACATATTATTTTGAGTTTTCATTATAAATACAACGCACACAAAAACACTCGGAGCTAGATAAAACTTCACTATACTGTGATTCTATTTCTCTCTACACTGAACGGAGGCGTCTAATCTTGATTATGAGATAAAAGGATTGTTTCTGAAAAGAAAATCCATTGTCTTATGAGCATTCACCGAAATGCGTTTTATCAAGGATCTTATTTGGCAATGTTATGTGCAAGTCAGAAAGCAGGAAATCCAGTATTCTTGCGTTGATTTGCTTGTAGTATATGTTTTCTCATCAGTAGATAATGAAACGTTGAATGTCTAAAAAGAGAAGCGATGTTAAAACGGATCTCTCAAAGCGACTGCAGACTAAAATCAAACTGGCGCAGTTTGATTATACGGTAACAGAATGTTACCGAAAAATGTTGTCCGCGAAACCAGCATTTTCAAAAACTCGATCCAATGCTGTTTTGTGAGGTTCTAAAAATGTACATTTTCTCTCAAAAACTGCTTGTTATATATTTTCAGAAAAAAATCTTTAACTAATGTGCTCCGAATTTTGAGATCCTAAATGTTTTTCGACTGATGTAACTACAACTCCTCGATGAAAAAAAGTTCTCTTTTAACATGTTTATTTCAGTTCGGTAGGAAATATAAAGCACTGCAACCGATTAAAAATGGTCTGACATTCGTAAAATCAATTAATTATAAAAATATAAGAATATTAGATCATGACGACATCCAAATTAATATTATATATACACCAGTAGTAATGGACGCCAACAACAATAATAAAGAAATAAAATGCATGCCAACATTTACATTGAATGTTAGATGGGCAACAGCAAAACGACGACAATGATATGCTATACTGGGGGTGAGTAGGGGTGTGACAGCCACCAAAAATAGAAATAAATCGCATCAGAAACTTTTTTCTTCTTCGTTCTCTGAAAAAAAATTCTTGTCTCAATGGAGCCCCCTCTCCGAAACTTGCCGGGACAACCCTGATAATTAGCCGCACCCCCAACCGACAGAGATTTTTCAGAGATCTGAGATAGGCGCTATAACAGACTGACGATGTTCAAAACAGTCAGAAGACGCCTTAAGTTTTCACAGCAGTCTAATATATTTGAATAAAATGTGTTAGTCATTGAATCAGGTAAAACATTTTTAGACAAATAAAATAAATATAATAAAACATACATTCTTCAGAAGAAAAAACAATGAACAATCGAACACATCTCGGTAAACTATGAACTATGTTCTAAATAAATACTACTCTTCACAGCTATTCATGATATTAATTTTGACTGGAAAAAAATGGGGTATTCTCGTTTCGTCGACAAATCGGCCACTTCAGAGAATATAGATCAGAGAACATCAGGGGCGGGAGGGACGGTGTGAGAGTGAGTTGTCGACGAAAGAAGAATACTTCGAAAAAAATTAATCGAAAAACAGTGCATTAGTGTGTTAAAGAGAACGCTGAACAAATCAAGGGTTTCCATAGTTTACTACTCTGGAACAATAGTTTTTTGTATTTATTATTTATTTACTAAGAGAAAATAAAGTGAATAGCTTCTTTCAAAAAGTTCCGTTAGCTTTGTGGAGAAAAATAAACTGACTGATAACGTGTTATGGTTCATCTCTCGGGAAAAATAGGTCATTAACTTTTTTTCAAAATCGAAAACGTTTGTGAAAGATGTTAAACATCCTGCTTCCAGTGATACACGCTACATTTTTCTTTATTTAAGCAAACTTCTTGCTTTCATTTTAGATTTTAGCACCATTAATCATTGATTCGAATTAGCTGAAGCAGTTTTTTGAATTGAGCTATATTAGCATTAGATGAATCAACAACAAATTTAGATTTTGAAAATATAAACGGATTGGCACAAACATTAATCGAGTATGTACCTAATGTTAATTAAAAAGTCTATAGTATATGATCAGCTGCCTCTTTAGTCTTTGAATGTATGATTTAGTAAGCCAAATGAGACGTTTAATTAGAAAGCAAGAAGTGACTCAAACAGACAAAAACACTAAACCTGTAAAAAAGAGCTGTTTGAAAAGAAAAGGTGTTCATACTGTTTTTCAAACACGACGTGCATAATTATGATCATAAATGGTGGAAAACGATAAACTAGAACCATCGGCGTTTTGTTCGTCCATGTCTAATAAAGTTGATTGTGTATCTTCGTATAAAATGTTTTCCTCTATTTCTTCTTCATCGTCATCAGTTGTTATGCCTTCATTACTACTTGTCTCTTCTGCTATTTGACTTGATATATCCTCTTCCATTTCGTTCTGATCTAAAATGTCGAGAATGAACATTTTTGTTGTTCGTGTATTCGTATTTCTTCTAATAGTTCGATGTTGTGTTGGTGGTGATGTGGATTTTCGTTTTGATTGTTGTTGTTTGTTTACTGCTATTTGTGATTGTCTATTGATACATGTCTCTGGATCACATCTACATAAAATTGTACATGACGAATACTTACATCCACAGTTCTTACAATTACTGTACATCTACATCCAGTTAGTTTTGGAAAGGTGGTGTTTGTTGTCCACTTTATTTGTATACCATTACTTGTTTCAATATAACCGTTTCCATCTGGAAGCGGATATTGTATATATGATTCACGTACTTGGAGCCAAATTCTTGTTTGAAGATGTGCACGAAGAAGGTGCTGTCTGAATCCGTCCGATGTGGATGGTAATTGTTGTAAAAATGATTTTAATGATGATGTACCATTAACAACTTTTTTTGCTTGATGCACACGGGCTTCGTCTAAAGTAGTTGCAATGCATTTATAACACTGTATTATTAATTTTTCAGCTGATGTAACTGCTTTATATGTTAATAGTGTCTGTTCAAATTCTAATAATTCTTTGTCACAACTGCTAAAGTACTGTTGGAATATTGTTTTTTTGGATATATTTCTGATAAAACTTGTGGTATCACACCCGGAAATGGAATGGAATATTAAAAGAATTTTTGGATTAACTTTGTGTGCTATGTCCTATGTTAAAAAAACAGAGTTCTCTGACCTGTTTTTAGATAAAGCGATACTAACGAAAAACATTAGTTTGTAGTCTTACTTTTGCGATCGGCGTACAATGAACATATTTTTTCTACTGTTTCGTTTTTTGTATATTTGTTGTTCGGTCAATTATCATGTCTAAACCGTCAAAATCTAATGAATATGCAATGCTTAATAATAACACGTCTGTATCAGCTGATTCGATAATAATATTGATGTACAAATTGTAGTCACTAACATTTTGTATGTGAACAAGTACACGTGTGTCAAATTCAATATGATTCGATGACAACAATAAATCTTTTGTACATATATTTTTTGTAAGTGTATAACAATCTTCATTCGGACCACTAACATAAAATAGTTTTCCAAGTGAAATCATTGGATGCATTTTCAACCAGGCGTCACGTACTTGTAGAGCTAATAAAGCACGATTTTCCTTTATAAATTTATCATATTCATCCCTTGTAAATGGCAATTGTGTATTCTTTGACAACTGATAAGTGTTTAATTTTTGATTAGCATGCCGTTTAATGAAAGATTTTGATGTGGCACTTTGGCTAAAATATTCAGATATTATGCGTGACATTAAGACAACTGGTAGACATGGAAGTTAGTGAACAATGGTGATGCTAGTCCCATTACCATTGCGATCCAGAAAATAGAACGCATAATAAACAATTAGCTTACTTTGAATCGAAAATTACATCAATACGGTCACACATAACTATATTTTTATCTAATATTTGTTGTAATAAATTTTTTGCATACGTTGTTATCGTATCATCTTTTCTTGGACGATGTTGTAATAACATGCCACCATCAATCAATACAACTGTCGTTTGATTTTCGTCACAAGGTGGTTGATATATAAAATGATTGGAATAATTCTGTTCAAAATATTCTATTACTTTACTTTTATTTT